GTCATCAGGATTCAATCCCATTGTCTGCATTCAAATAAATAGTTAATCCACCAATCAGCTTTCGAGTTTACACTAATTATTCATTATTGTGAAGAGTACCGTGATATGCATCGACACATTTCAATTTTTTTTATTTTATTATTATTTGTTTTTTTTAATGAGAGGAGGTTTTGAAAATTTAGAGGGAACCTAGGAAGAGAGCCAAAATTTAGTTATTTTACTACAATTCTGGAAGAACATGTCTCACAAAAAGAATATTGGCAATTTTTTTCGCCCATCAAAGATCAAGTTTTGTGAAAACCCATAATTAGCTGTTCCCTTGTCAATTGCAATAGCGTACAATCTATATTTGTCTTCTGTAAATAAGCACTTAAAATTCAATTTCCGAAAGAAACCATTAAAGTAAAATAAGCCAGGACGAAACCAAAAGAACGATAATTATGAAACAAGTCGCGTTCGTCACGCAAAGCAACAAAGCGCGTGACAGTCATGAGCGCACAGTATGGCGCGAGAGAGGAGAGTGAAAATTGTTATCTGCAACTTTTCGTCAAGCGTAGGCCAATGGGCGTGTTTGAAACACGAAATAAAAACTACGGTTAGCCTAAATGGCGATCCTGAGCCTGAATGTCACTGACTCGATAGTGGTAAGAGCCCGGGGAGTTGGGGGGTGGGGGGGACACTGCCATATTTGGGCTATATAGGTTTGTGCCGCTGTGAAAGGTATGGTTTTCAAGCAGTTTTCTCTAGGATAGGGTATATAAAACAGAGCGTTTGGGTCTATAATAGGGTATAATTTTTCACAAAACTGACTAGTTGGTTGAAGATTTTATCTAGACTAAGGAAACCAGGAATTGCCACTCAAAAATATAAAAAAGTCAAATCGACAAGTTTAAATTTACACAAATCAGCCTCAACAGTGACGATAGATGGGGGAATTTGGGGAGTTTACTCTAGTATAGGGTAGCAAAATTCAGTTGAACTAGCTCTGGTATAGGCTAAGGGTTCCAAGGTCCCAGCAGCACATCCCCACCCAGAAATTCTCAAAGTCCTCCCCTCCCCCCCGCCGCGGATAAGAGTTACGGGCTAACAGACACCCGTACCCCCACATTGACTCGTAGTGCCATTTCGTCATTTCGCCATTTTATGTTTTAGACACACCCTGGGCCATTAATTGATCTCAGGAGCCTAAAATGCATAACAGTAGTAATATGTCCAATATCCCTTTTCATGTTAATTTTTCCGATTTAAATTACAATGTAACTCAACGTCGATGCGAAGCAATTGCGGGCCGAAAGTACAAAAATTTCCACTGACTTGACAGTGGTTAGCTTTCAACAATAGTAAGAGTTACGGGTTTACAGACACCCGTATCCCACATTGACTCGTAGTGCCATTTCTTCATTTCGCCATTTCATATTTTAAACACGCCCTGGGAATCACAGGAGCTAAAAATCCCTTTTCATGTTAATTTTTCTCATTTAAATTACAATGTAACTCAACGTCGATGCGAAGCAATTGCGGGCTGAAACTACAAAATTTCCCAAAGTAATATAAATGTACTGTAAAAATGCAAATGAAAAAGTAAACCGTGGAAAGGGGCTGTTACCGTTGTGAACTCCCATGTGATAGGGCGTGGCGGGCGGGGATGCCATGCCAAGGTTGACCTCTATCTATTGCTTGTGGGAAAATTTGAACCGATCCCCTAAAGGACCAATCTGGGTGCGACTCAAACTTTATTTGACCGCTAGAAGTTACCATTTTGTACCATAGAGACAAGAGAAAATACACCATTCGTAAAATTCATATCAAACTACATCCGGGACCCGCTCTTGATCCTCACCAGTCAATCAATCAATCAATCAATCAATCAATCAATTAATCTATCTATTAATCAATCAAACTTTATTTTAAGAGGGCTTACACTTAATAGTTATACAACTAATAAACCTTTCGCCCTCGATTAAGAATTATAAAAGACTTATTATGATAGTGAAGCCACCTTAAATTTTCGAAAATATTTAAGGTGTTGCTTCACTCCCTCCGTAAATTTTTTTAAAGTTGCAGCTTGTCATGCTTATAATTGGCACAATTCAATAATGAAAAAATGGTGATACCACCCCACTGCACAGTAGCAAGAGAAAATGAGAGTCCCCACATTTTTTCTTGACAATAGCTAACTATGTGGAGTTGCCAAAAACTACAAATTTGAAGGATACTTTAATTTCAAAACAGTAGATAGCTTAGTTTTATATTAATTTACACAGAGTTAAATAAAATGGTGAGTTTTAGTCAGGTCGAGTTATACAGTTTCTTTCATGTCACTTACGATGATGTGAGATAAGAACTTAGACCTGTTACAAAGTCGGTTGCGCTGGCTAGTAGGCTCTGTATATATCATAAATCATGCCTGTTTCCGGAGTCCACATACGTTTCCAACCCATTTCCAGCTCATCCTCGTCCGTAGAGACAGGCTTGGTCGCGATTCCGAGTGGTAGCTGACCAATTGCAAATTGATCGTGGTCTCTGCATGAGAACCAGACCAGCTCTATTCTCTTTGCACATGCCTCGGTCTTCCGAGGGAAATATTAACAAGAGGACCTAAGAAGCTGTTCGCAAGAACTAAAAAACGTTTGCTGAGCGAGAAAGAACACAGCAACTTGCTTTCGAGATAAAGAAGAACGGCTGGCTGCATAGTGTTTTAAAACTACCAGACTAATAGCTTTGGACAGATACGGAGATATTTAAAAACAGGCGTTAATATATAGGCTGGGCTTGAAATTCGATTAAACGCCTTCTACCTACGCGCTCGAGTACGTCTGAGCGTGTTTTTCAATTAAAGAAAATCCCTCAAAGAAAACCACCTGGCTTATAAAATAAAAACACAATGTGATCGCTTAAACTCAAGTTTCATAAAAAAAATGCTTGCTTACACTATCCCTACGAAAGCACTTTCGTCAGATTATTTCTCAAATACGAGTAAATGGTGCCAAGACATTTGGTGCAATAATTCACAATGTCTTCCTGTTTGAAATATTTTTTTTAGATACACACTCATTAAACTCGAACCAGCTCTCAGAAAGACGCCGATTAAAAATTCATAAGTGAGACGCATCTGCATAATTTTAAAATTGATGACTCTGCTGGGAAAGATCAATAGATTAAAAGCGACAGGCCATTGGCCCGTTGGTCGATAAAAGCTGTTCAACACAAAGGACCGGCTCAGTTTGGGTTGTCTCGCATAAGACATCTGAACACGTGCAAAAATCATACAAAATAAAACCGATAAATAAATGCAAATACACAAGTCTGATTGAAAAACCTATTATCAAGTCACTTAAGCACCGCCGAATTCATTCTCGACTGGGTATTTTTCCCATTTTTAAAGGATTGTCGGATAATTCTTCAGTGGTAACACGAGAAACTGAATTTCGATTTTTTTTAACTACTGTTCGGTAAGTCCTTGCCTTGGGGTTTTTTATCGCAATTTTTATACAAATATCCATGAATATATATATTATTTCTGACTCTAAGCCTAAGGATCTTGATCAAATTATACTTTCATATTGCGTGCGATAAATCAATTGACATACTCATTTTCAGGCGAAAAGATCCTTCATTCGGCAACAATGGAGAACCAGGAAAACAAGAGCATTTCATCGAAAATATTTCACGCATTTTCCAGGAAGGATCGTCGAAAATATGTTATTTATTTTCTCGTTGCGACCATGCTGTGGCTCCTCGGGTCTTGGAATATAAGCTTTGCATGGATTATTTTGTTTCTAGCCATCTGCGTACTTGGGGAATATCACTCGGAAGTTAACAAAAGGAAGCGAAGAAACTTACGCGAAACGTCCTACGAACCGAACCTCTCCAAGATCAAAACATTTCCTATACCACCCGTCTATTTGTCAGAGAGCGAAAACGCAATGTGGCTGAATAATATTATTAACAGAATGTGGCCATTCATCGAGGGTATGGCTAGAAAGATCATTAAAGACAGTGTCGAGCCAGAGATTCAAAAGAAGCTTCCCGCAGTCTTAAAGACCCTTTACTTCGACAAGATCGAGTTGGGTCAAAAACCTCCGTTTATTGGTAATATAAGATCGTATTCTAGAGGCAGTTGTTCCGCGCGAGCTTCAGAATTCATAATGGACGTGGATTTGACTTATAATGGGGACGCGCAGCTGAAACTTACAGTGAAAAACGTCAATCTGGGGATTTCAGACTTTCAAATTCACGGACCGCTTCGAATTATTCTAAAGCCTCTCTTGACGGATCAGTCTATCGTTGGAGGAGTAACTCTGTTTTTTCTGAAGAGGCCTAAGATCGCGTTTAATTTGACAAACTTGTTAAATGTATTGGATTTTCCCGGATTGAAGAAAACCTTGCGAGGCATTGTGGATGACGTCATTGCCAGCTTCGCGGTTATACCCAATCGGATCGCAATTCCCTTGGCGGCGAGCGTGGATCCCAGCGACCTGCGGTATCCAATCCCCGAGGGTTTACTGCGCGTCCAAATGTTGGAAGCCCGGGAACTGGTGAAATCAGATTTTTCGCTTATTGGCAAGGCTGCTCCAGACCCGTACGCCATCTTGGAAGTTGGCGCTCAAACATTTCGTACCGAGACGAAGAAAAACGATTCAAATCCCACTTGGGAAGAAACTTTCGAGGCATTTGTGGACAATTCTGAGGGGCAAGAACTTGAAGTCTATCTCTACGACCACGATCTTGCCTCGAAAGATTCTAAACTTGGTCAAGTAGATTTTAAAATTCACTCTGTTGTCGAAGGCGGCGGTCAAGATGTCTGGTTGCCCTTAGAAAAAGCCAAGCAAGGCAAGGTCCACTTGCAGTTGGATTGGTTTGCTCTCAGCAGTGACCCACTACATTTTAGATATACCAAAGAAAACGAAACCGTTGCCGTATTGATTGTGAAATTGATCAAAGCGCAAAATCTCCCGCGTCGCACGAGGTCTGTGTTAGCGAGGAAGATCTTCTGTAGGATATCCGTGGGGAATACCACGTTAGATAGCTTTTGCTCCCACGGAGAAGACACGGAATGGGGACAATCCTTACGATTCTTACTAACCGATCCCCATGAGGAAGCTCACATCGAGGTGATGGAAGGAAACGGCAGCAACAGCCTAGGGTCCATGGTGTTCACTGTTCGAAAGCTGATAGAAGAACCGGAAATGACCCTTCAAGACTGCTTCCGGCTGCAAAGCGGAACCGGAAGTATTGAATGCAAGTTCACCCTCCGCGCACTGAAAGCTATGGATACCTGTGGCGCGCCAACGCCCTTGCTGATGGGCAGGAAGTTCAACGCTTGCCTTGACAACGGAAACTGCCTTCAGCGAGCGGACACGCCTACATTTGCAGCAGAAGTTGAAGTTCAGGAGGAAGCGTCCACCTCTGAGCACAGCTACAGCAGCGAAACTACTGAGAAAACGTCCAGTAGCGGTTCTTCACCCAGTGGAAGCATAGCCGACGATACTTCTAACGGTCCCGAAACTTCCGTTCGGGATTACCTGTCCCGAGGAGAAGTCTGGTTGAAGTTAATCTACGACCATCGTAGAAACCGGCTCGTTGTGACTGTTCTTAATGCAACGAATCTCTCGTCCTCAGAGCCTAAGTCTAAGACAAACCCTTACGTGCAATTAAAAATGCTTCCTTCTCACTCTAAGAAATCCATTCGCAAGACGTGTCCAATTGCTGGTAGTCTTAATCCCATCTTTAACGAGACTTTCGAATACGTGATCGGGCTTGATCAGCTGGCTGATAAGCAGCTACATGTGGCGGTCAAAAACGAACGTTTTGTCCAGTTACCAGTGAAACGAAGAGACCTAATCGGTCGTACTGCAGTAAAACTCTGTGAGCTGAGTTTGTCGACTGGCGTAACAATGAACTGCGAAATAACAAAATAATGACCCCGACTGGAATCCAGTCCTCTCTTGTCTCCAAAGTGATAAAGCAGGAAAACAGAAACACGAGGAACATAATTCAAGAAGTGCGCGGCACATGGATGACCTGCTCCTAAACGACCCGGAAAGACTGGGAACGTCTAATAACAGAGGAAGGGGTGAGGCTTTAGCCGAATGGCAGTCAATTCCTGGTTCTGGCAGTAAAGTGCTTTCTTCTCTGTTTATCCATTCTTAAGATGGTGGAAAGGGCCTGGAGTGTCTGTCCTATGCTGATTAATTTTCTCTCATGCAGGTCTTCACGCGCTGCCCTTGCATTAAAAACTTTGCTGGAAACAGCAATTCATATTCCGATCCAACCGTAACTTCATTGTATTCAGTTCAAAATGGGAATTCTCCTTGCGAGTACAAGCATTTCTTATAGCAAATGCTTTGAGAATTTGGACACTGATTAAATGACCTCACTTGGGGAGGAGGCTTTGAAGGCTACCTTCACCAGTACAAGGCTTTTCGACGGTTAAAGGTTAAATTTTCGATTGTTAAACGGCTGATTGTTAATTTGGTTTTGTTATTTGACAGATTTGAAAGAAGACGGTTAATTTTTAGGCCGTTTGACGCTTCACGTTTAATCCCACTGCGACCTCTCAAAATAATCTTGGAGTCCTAATACAAAGGCAATTTTATTCCAGGGACTGAAAAAAAAATCAAGCTATTAAAATTCAAGTCTTCTCAGTTTAATTATCTTTTTTCGTACAAACACTCGAAACATAGCTACAGCTAGATTTGCTTATTTTCCAACAATACACACTTCTAGATGTCATACAATATAAATATCTCATATACATTTTGTTTCAGCAAAAAACCTTGTAATAACTGATCAGTTATCATCCCTTAGAGGCTACAGTTAAGGCTCGTAGAGTTCTGTAAAGAAGCTATTAATAAAGTAAGAAAGTGTAATTATTCAAAGATTACTGCCATATGTTACGTTTCCCGGCGGATTGACGTTAGGCTATCTTCCAGACAAAAAAAAAAAAAAGAAAAACAGTTTTGATTGAGCACGCGATTTTTGTAGCGGTTACTTGCCTGAACAACTGCATGATAACGGTTGGCTACTGACTCGTCCGCAGTCGTCTGACTTGAGTCTCCGACGGAAGCGAGAGTTGACTGATGGAAAGTAATATAGCAGGGGTTGATGGAAAAGAAGAAGACAAAAGACGAGTCAGGGCTGGCTGGGATACTTACACGATCAGTGTTTGCATCTGCGTGAGAATGGGAGCAAAACCGGCGGTAAATCGGAAACAAGCACTAGTAAAGTTTCTAAGTTCTTTTTTTCCAATAAGAGAATACTTGTTTCCAATCAAAAGCAAATGCGAGCAGTCGAAAGTACTCTGAAAGTTATCAGGTCATCATGATGTGATCAGTGGCTTCGCAACTTGGAGAGGTAAGCTGCTAGCTCAATATCTCAGTTTTTCTGGCAACTCGTTCTACCCCCCCCCCGGGGGGGGGCTCCCGTATGAAAAGGACGGGGGTGCTTGTCGGAAATTTTGAAAATAACCCCTAAGAGGTACTAAGATCCTGTTTTATAGGGGTGGCTTGAAAGTACCAATTCTTACATAACAGGTTATCTCCGGCTATATATTTTCGGCTCAATACCCTAAGAGGCACCACAAAAACTCCCACTGAGGACCTTTTGAGGTTGAACTCCCCAAGAGGTACCAAAACCGCTTTTTGACCCCTAACAGGTACGACGAGTATCCCTGTCCTTTTCATATAGGAGTCCCCCGTCCGGGGATCTACCACGACTCGTACACCATCGTCTCTCAGTGTCGTCTTGAATATAAACGAGAGACGCAAGGCGTAATGGGTGCGGGAGCGTGGAAGGGGGGGGGGGGGGTGATGGAAAGGAAAGGCGAACGACGTCGCTACTCTCCTTTTGTTTCTACCTTCCCATCAACACCTGCTTTATCACTTTCCCTCAAACCTCTTATCTCGTTTTCCGAAGCCGAAGCTGCTCTTCGTAACGACCTTTCATTGCTACATCCCTTGGCTTGCGATTTCATAGATATGAGAGTCCCAGAAAAGATTGATGCCATATCATGCTAATACATTGCATGGCGTGACAAGGACAAATTGATAATGATGATGATGAAGAAAAGGTTTCATCCATTTGGACTATATGAAAACACAGAGAGCCTGGGATTGAGACCGGATTGAGGTTGGCAAAAATCTTAGCAAGCTGAGCTGATATGAATACCCAAGCTAGGGTAGGGGTTTCCAACTATTCTCTGCCCTTAAAATAAGGTAAGGGTATAAATCTGAGGGTTGAGCCCAGCGTATATTTGAAACGGACGTGTTTTTATAATCGATTTCTTAAACGTTAAACAAGGCTAGATTACTTGCAAAAATTTCGGACGATTTCGGACAAAAAAGTGTACGAAAATAAAACCATCCGAAATTTTTAGTGTCCAAAACTTTCGTAAAACCTTAAGGCTGTAGCAAAACTATCATTTTCACAGATTTTGTTTCAGTGAAATTCGTGTTTTCTAGTAAATTTACTTTAGTTATGTTTTAGCAAAGTTTCCAAAACAGTGGTCCGAAATTTGTCCGAAATGAGATAAAAAATGTACAAAGATTAAACGTCCGAAAGTTTTTGCAAGTTATGTATTTCTCATCATTTTATTTCTCAATTTGTTTGTCAAGGATACCGCAATCAGCAAAATTGACCAAAATTCATTTTGAAAGCCAACCGGAAATCCACTATTGGTTTGAAGAGTTGCGTGACAGTCACTCTCTCCTTTGACGTGACTCTCTAGAGAGACTGGTATCGAGATTGTGATTGCAGAGGGCCGCCTGGTAGATTTCGCTGTACAATCTGCAAAGTCATGATGGCACCGATGCAGTTTCTAACCGTTTACTTGTCATTTATTTCTGTCGTGCTTTCCGTGAAGCCCTGCCTTTCAGACTACACTGCGGCAGTTTACGAGCATGTTACCTTCTTTGTCTTCCAAAACAAGACTGAATTATCACGCCCTGGAGCGTTGGAAATTATGAAGAAAAACCTGGCTGTCTTCCAAACAAAGGCGGCCTTAGCGAAGTCCAAAGGTGCTGAGATCATCATTTTTCCAGAAGATGGGCTGTATGGCTTTGATTACACACGCGAACAAATCTTTCCCTTTCTTGAAGTTATCCCGAATCCATCGAAGTTGCAGAAGAGTTGGAATCCTTGTACAGATCCAGATCGTTTTGACAAAACCGAAGTGTTACGAGAGCTGAGTTGTATCGCTCATAACTCTTCCATTGCAGTGGTGGCAAACATGGGGGATGTGCAATACTGTAACAAGTCGGATCCACACTGTCCCGAAGATGGCAGATACCAGTTTAACACTGATGTGGTATTCGATACAGACGGCACATTACTGGCAAAGTACCATAAGCAACATTTATTTCATGAAGATCAGTTCAACACGCCTCAGAAAGCGGAAATCGTGATTTTTAAGACATCGTTCGGAGTCACATTTGGTGTTTTCACTTGTTTTGACATGTTATTCTATGATCCCGCTATTGAGCTTGTTGAGAAGTTTGGTGTTCGCAATATTGTGTTCCCAACTGCATGGATGGATGGCTTCCCTATCCTGGCCTCAGTAGAGTATCAGCAAGCATGGTCACGATTGACATGTGTCAATCTTCTCGCAGCCAATCAGCATTTGCCCCTGGTAGATATGGTAGGGAGTGGGATTTACTCTTGCGGAGAACCATTATCATATATTTATGATATGAAGACTTATGAAGGACACCTCCTAGTCGCTCATTTGCCAAATTTAGAGCTACATCCTGAACTTCCTATTCTGCAGACATGTCAATCAAGAAATGAACCATTTAATTTACAGCAATATAACATCAAACAGATGGGATCACCATTTCATTCCAAGCTGTTGAATGACATGTACACCTTTGTCGCACTTGATGGTACAAAGGGTATTGCTACTGCCTCAGTTTGCACCAATGAGCTCTGCTGCCATGCAAGTTACAGCTTGCCAAGTCAACAATCTTTCGAGAGTGAGCTTTTTGCATTGGGGGCATTTAATGGCCACCATGACCCAGAAGGCTACACTATCCAGGCTTGTGTTTTGATAAAATGCAACAGTATGGAGAAAGATTCCTGTGGTACACCAACACAAACGTCGTCAACCATGTTCAGCTCATTCCAACTGTCTGGAAACTTTTCAGCAAAGGCACATGTATTTCCTGAGGTTCTAGCATCTGATGTGGAGCTAATCCCAGCCAAGATGATGTCAGTCTCTGGAAATGTTATGAGTGTAAACTCATTTGAAAAGCCTTTACTATCAGCTGTCCTGTTTGGCCGGATTTATGAGCTTGATCGTGTTTAAAATGAATAATTAATGACTTTGACTACAAGGCTCTTGATGGCTATCTTCTAATTGGCCTACGTTTTTCCTCGGGGGTGGGTATGGCTACACGTACGTGCTGTAGGCTATCTTCTAATATTTTGGGCATTAAGTAGACTTAAAACAAAAATATGACATCAGCAGTAGATTTTGGGGAGGGGCCTGGTGGAGCCCAGCTCCCCTTTTGCTGGAAAATAAAGAGCCCATGTTAATTTCAATTCTCTAACAGCAGCTGCCATCTTCAACAGTATGAAAAGTGTACCATGCAAGACCCTATATAATGTACTAAAAATTAGTTACATGTAGATGTAGGCAATTGCTCGAATCTACAGAAAATCAGACATTATTAACCATAGATTATGATTTAGTTATGTAATATCATTGGCTAAATTACAATAAAATTAATGCTGTAAACCAGCTACCATACAAACTTTCAAAACCTTAACTTCTGAAGTTGGCATTGTCACTTGTGGCACATTAGAACCTATGACACATAAAACCAAGACAAGCAACTTCATTAACTGAGGTCAAAACTAAAACTAAGTTGCTACAGTTTTAAGTAAATTTTTTTTCTACACAGCCTCCATGAAAAGCAATTTTCAGTTTTTTTTGGAATTTTTATTCCTTTATTGTAGTTAGGAATATAGATAACCAGTTGATTATCATAATCAAGTGAACTCAACTGAATCAAGTGATCAAGTGAATCAATTCGAGTTAACTCGTTTTCTAGAATCGGAACAAAACTTTGGAATGAAATACCTATATCTTTAAGAAAACTTCCAAAAATTGTCTTTAAGAGGAAACTAAAACAAATACTTTTTGAAATTCTAGCTTCAGAAGACTTTTTTATTGATCTTTCAGAAATCATTCAAAAAGTAAAGCTGAATTTATTTTCCTCTTAGTATGTATTCACTAATATTCAATAATATCGTTTTAGTGTATCTGTAGTCTCTTGTCATAACTGTTGTCAATTATTATTTGTAATACCATTAGTTTATTAGTTGTGTCTAGTCATTGTTGTCAATTTTAGTCTCTTTAGTTCTCTTGTTGCCTTCAGTTGTATTTAGTTGTACCAAGTTGTATATTAATAATTCGTGTAAATGCTTAGATTAGCTGCTATCTGCAGGCATGTTACAATAATTTTAATTTGAAAACAAAATAAAAAGTATATATGTACGTATAAATAGACTGATGGAATTACTGTTTTTAAATAAAGTTCTCGTATCATATTGAGAAACTTTATTTGCTATGGTGTCCAATATTCTGGGTACTGGACTGGAACTAGCTTGCAACTGGGGCTAATGTAAGGAGTCTTTTCAAAATGTAAATGACATTAATCTCTTTAATGACATTTCTGGGGGGGGTACTCCCTATAATAGCATCTAGGGGGAGGCTCTGCTCAATAGGGGTACCTTTTTCAGGCTTCAGGTGTATAAGAGGGGAGGGATTTCTCAAGGTGAGGTATATGACAGGGTAAGGAAATCTGTCATTTGGGTGTCAATGGGGTCTTTAATTCTTATTCAAATATTCTGAGGAGACACACCTTGTGGCTGTATATGGTAATGCTTCATGTTCTGCTGTAAAATGGTTCATTATAATAGTCTATCGCTTCATTCTAAGGGGTTAGAAAAGGGATGCAATGTTCTTAAGGTATACAAAAAGGGTACCTATTCTGTCTAAATGGTATACAAGAGGGTAAGGGGTTGGACCTCAGGGCAGAGCCACCCTGTATAACATCTTTTAGAGTACCCCCCCCCCCCCATGATCTTCCCCAACATAAGCCTCCATTGCAAGCTAGTTCCAGAACAATTCCAAGAATACAAATATGGCCTATTCAAAAATAAATTATTGGCCAGGTGTTTCTTAAATTCAAAATCCCCTAGCTGGTTGTTAGTAACCAATCAGCTTTCTAGTCTAACCTCCGAGCTAAACCCATTTAACATATTGCTTGACATTGGAGTGGTCCAATCAAATCAATTACTAACAATTGTAATATGGTGTACTTCAATTAATGAAGACACCCCACCCTCTTCCTGAGACTGACAGTAATAAGCCCCTTTGCAAGCAAGGCAGGAGGCTTGTTTAAGACATTTAACTCATGGATGGGAGCTACTGCTGAAAAATGAGAGTTGTTCTTTGCAGTTACATATCAACATAAGCAGTTGGAAAGAAAGCCTGCAAAAAACTGCTCATGTTGACATCTGCAACTGTAAAGATCCCATTCCCCTTTCTTGTTTCTAATGCAGTTAAAAAAACAGTTCTTGAGACACTGACACAAATGCCACATTGTTATTTTTTGGGCTGTGTTGATGCTGTGTTGAGAGTGGGGGAGGAGTGGGACTGGGAGAGACAAAGAACAGGTTGAAAGCACCAACAATTTAATAAATTGGTACAGTGAGAGTTGAGTGTCCTGGCCAATAACAAAATGCAAGGACCCAGCTTGGCCTAGAAAAATACATGTACCTTCTCGGTTAAGGATCCACTTTAACATGTTAACCACAATAGGCTACCTTGAACCGGTCATTACCAAGGGATAGTTGGGTAGGAGAGAAGATAGTGGAGTGCAGAATTTCTAAGGAGATGTTAGAAGGGAGAAAAATTGTGGTAAGAATCTTTATTTACTTACTCAAAACTGATTTAAGAAAATTAAAGAACTCATAACTGTACAACACATTTAGGTACAATAGTAACATTATAGACTTAGAGCCAGGGTTTTCAAATGGGCACTGGGTAAATTGACTGGCTGTGGGGACAATTTTGCTTGGCTGGTTTGACCATCTAACGGAAAGTTTTTCTTACAAAGAAGTTCAGTTCTAATAGGCTTGCCCACCTGTGAAAACCAGTTGCCCTTCTGCTGAAAATGTTATTGAAACCCCTAATAGATGCAAAAACTATTAGGTTTCTTAAATAACTGCACAACAGGTGTAATTTTGTTTCACTTGTGATATACATTTCTGGTGCCAAGTTTGAAGCAGACTGCTCTTATATTTCCAGAGATATTCTTTATTCATAATGTTTTACTTTAGTAGCACAACTTATGGCATCATCTGACTTTCCTAATTTGCATTAGGTACACAAAAACATCAGTATTTCTAAAAGGAAAGATATTCCAAAAAGGGAAATGCCATTCTTTATTTTGAAGAGCCTTTCAATTAAGCAGTAATTACCTTTCATTTCATAGGCACTTTAATAAAAATTATTTATCAACAAAAAGCTTTTGTAAACTTTATATTGTCACTTTTATCTGTAATTCATAAACAAGTAAAAATTAGCGATAAGAAAGAACAACGTTTCGGTTACATCGTGACACCATTTTCAAGTTCAAATGCAAAAAAGATAAACTGTCAGAAAATTCGCCCAAGATTAACATACTTCATAATTACATATACAATGTCATGCAAGTAGTTTTGCTTGAAATGAGTCCGACTGAACATTGAGAGATGGAGTTAATTCTCTAATTAGCAGCATTTCATGCACTAAACAATCGAACTTATTCATGCACTTCCTGAGAACGAAAAAATGTCTGTACAGGTCTTTCGGAAGAATCTTGAGTGAATTTTCTGACAGTATATCTTTTTTGCATTTGAACTTGAAAATGGTGTCACAGTGTCACTGAAACGTTGTTCTTTCGTATCACTAATTTTTACTTGTTTATGCTTTACCAGTAATTTGCTATAAAAACATAAATTTTTTCTCTATCAGGCTGTTACATTGAGAGAATTGAGGAATTCTTAAACTTCAAAAGAGTTCATGATGAGGAAATGCTTAACTTGAAATTTGTAACAGCTGTCAGAATTGCAAGTATTGATTCACCGTCAGGCCTTTGGATTGATCCACCAGACTCATTTGCACTGGAGCTGTGAGTTGCATCTTTGAAGCCATACTTCATGTACAGCTGTATCGCAGGTACCTGAATGTTGGAAGTTGTTAAAACAATCATCTTCATTCTATGTTTTTTTGCATGTGTAATCACTTCAGTGAGCATTCGTTTACCAATGCCCATTCGTTTATAACCTGGCACCACATACATTCGCTGCAGTTCAAATACTCCTGGCTCCTGGTTCTCATCGTGACGGAGTCCAACCATACCAACAACTTTACCGCACAACTCAGCTACCCACATGTGACAGCCTTCATCTGACATGTATGACTTCTCGATATCCCTCATATCAGTTCTCACTGTGTACTTAACATACTTGTAACAAGCAACATGCAGACTTATGTAGAAAAATGTCAACAGAATCAAAATGATAAACACAAACACCACAAAAATCCATGTTGACCACAATACTGCTGCAAGTGATGCGAAGATAATTGCCATGCCAATGTACCATGATGATTTTAATATGAAAGTTCTAGCAAGATTTTTTATGTAATCTTGAAATCCTTCCATAAAAATCTGAACACATTCTTTTTTATCAGAACGCTGGAAGGAGCGAATGGTTAGCCTGTCTTTGACTTCAGGGTAATGTGTAGTCCAGTGTTGTACAGCATCTGAGGAAACCATATTTTTCTTGTAAAAAAAGCAAAAAATAAGAAGACAATATTTAAAGGTAGTAAAATGCATCCGAGAAGCTCTAGGCTTATACAAATTCTAAGGGGTTATTAAGGTTTATACAAAAATATTTTACTGACAATTCAATGACTCTGTAGACCAACATATTACTCAAAAGAGTTTTATGATATGATTTGCACTCTACTTTATAAAATAGAGGATATTACATGGTGGTGAGAAGATATGAATTTTATGTTTGAGTGGCAAGAACTATATCTCACGAGTGAGCGCAGTGAACGAGTGAGATATTGTTTTTGCCATGAAAACATAAAATTCATATCTTTGAGCTAACGTGTGATGTTCTTTTTATTATGTAAACATACTGATGACAGCGTTTTTGACGATTTTCCCAAGATTTCTGACCACTTTCCGAAGATTTCCGAAGATTTTCCAAAATTGTTCTGAAGGCCTGACAAACATTTCCGAACATTTTCCGAACATTTCCAAACATTTTCCGAAGATTACTGAAGATTGCTGAAGACGACCAAAGATCCGAAGATGTTTCGATCAGACACCAACAAATTAAAGTGTGGCTAAAGAGACAAAAGAAAAATGTTATCAAAAATGATATCTTCACATGTGAGGATATCTATCGTTTTTATCAATTCGTTAGCACTCCGTATACCACTGACTTTTAAATAATAAACTTATACATTCATTAATACCTTTTCTGTTTAAGAGCAAACTCAAGGCTGCTCACTGACAATAGGAGAAGGTTCAGGAGGTGGTGGCCCGGTGGGCATACATTTTTTGTTGTATTTATAAACTGAGTACTTTTTCACTTATTTTTTCCTCGCAGCTTCGATTAAGCATGAAGAAAAGTTCAGAAATTTCATATTGACCTGTTAGATCTGCTCGCAACAGAAAAGCCTGAAATTGTCTTCAAAGAGAGGTGAGCCTTGAGCAAGCACTGTGCTTCAGTCTGTGCTCTGCAAACTTCTGCATGTATCATAATTCAACATATTACAAGTTCATTTCAAACAGCAGTCACAGACAATAAAAACCAAAAAGATTCTTCATGTTTCCTCAACAGTGTCTGGCTTTAATGTAAAGGCACAGGTAGACTTTTAATGCTATCTGGACTGCAAAAGAACACAGGGCTGTCAATAAGGGCCGTTAAACCCGTAACACCTGTTATGTCTAAGCATCTTTGATGGACCCTTGATGTTATGGGTGAACTAGCCTGTAGATACAATTCACCCATAAAGTAACAAGTTTGCTATGGATGTGAAAATCAAGGCTCCAGGTGAATTAAAACTTAATGACAGCCCTGAGCCGTATTTGTTGTGAACTCCTGTGGTTGTAGAAAAAAAAGCTGTGGAGCCACTGTCAAAACGGCCGGTGAGCAATTTTTGCAAAATGGCTGTATTGCAGTCTAATGTGATTTAAATATATGGACAAGCCACAGATAACATACCACTTTCATTGCTGTCTTTCATTGTCTGGCATGTCAGCTAAGCTGTGAAATCACTTTTGACAATTTAGTGGGAAACATGCAAGAAACTGATCTATGTACAACAGGACTGTCATTAAGTTTTAAGAGTTCAGTCATGTGTTGTCTTGATCTTCACACCCATTACAAACTTGTATCAAAATGGACAAATTCACCTGTAGCATTACAGGGGCCCTGATCAACCACATGAATTCTGACTCAGCAGGTGAACTGCCTGTTACAGTAATGAAAGTCACAATGCACTTCTTTCAGTTGTATTCAGATCCCCAAGGAAGCCGAGGCAGCAGACTCAAAAGACAGTGTCAATATTCCAATTCATTTGTTGTGCACAGACATGAAAGAAAACTAGAACTAGTATCTAAAAAGACTATTAGGCAGTCTAGGAGAGGTTAATCTCAAAAACATCCCTTGTCCCCTTGATATATATGATCATGTTCACCAAGACCCCCGGGGGGCCCTCAGAGGAATACAGGATGAGAAGGAAAGTCCTTTAGCCCCCAAGTCCATTAGCCCCTAACCAGAAGTCGATAAGCCCCCATTAAGGTTAAGAAAACGAATAATAATAATAATAATAATAATAATAGTAATAGTAATAGTAATAGTAATAGTAATAATGATAATCCCTTTCTATTTACATCAATTTTTGTTAAAATCTGTCAGAGCTAATCTAATATATTTAGAAGAATGGCAAATTACAGAATATTAGAAAAACCATCTGAACAACCTTGACTTTTTACCTATTCAAAATGTCAGACAACATCATTTCCATGATGAGGCAAAGTATGAAAAAATTTCACCAAAGGAAAGTATAAATATTAAGGAGTTTATGCACCAGTCAAAATAAATCCCCCCTGCCAAAACCCGGAAAAGGGCAGGGGCTTGGACAAAACAACTTGAAAAAATGAGCCAATGTCCCCACCTCCAGGGAAACATTTCCATTCCAATGTCCTCACATGCCACCGACTACAATTGAAAGGATATGCCGAGGTTCCAATTTCTATTTATTTATTTTTATTTATTTAAAATAGATTGAAAAGCAACAAGTAAGTTACTCATGTTTCTCTCCGCCATTTTGGTTGCCTTCTGGGCTGGTCCCAGTCTCTTTGCAACACACAGTTCTGGTATGGACACCGAAGAAGCAATTCTAGTCCAAGACCCTGTGTACCGGTGTCACAGTGATACGTGTATCCCCGTGATATGTGTATCCCCAGTGGGATACATAAAACACTGATACGCGCCTGGGTATTCAACGAACAAAATGGCGACTCGGTTGCCAGGTTCCAACGAGCGCTGTAAAGAGTAGGAGAAACCAGAAATGAATTCGCGCCCAATGGAGCAGCTTAGGACTTCTTGAGTTTGGTCGAGTTCCAACCAACTCGATTGTATATCTGACTAAAACTTCGAACAGCGGATACACATATCACTAATTATTTTATTTCATGGCGCAGTGATTTCAGTGTGTATCCCCTAAACACAGCCATTGGATTGACTATCTACCTGATTGAAAAAGGGACCAATTATTGCCGAAACGTGCTGGCTGCTTACTCACGACGACGTTTATACCCAGGTTGAGGTTTGCGGAGTTTCCAACTCGAATGTCTAAATATCTAAACTGAAATTGCGTGCAGGGGATACACATCACTAGTTATTTCATGGCACACACAACTGTTATAATATAACGCATCAACCTTGTCAAAACTGCAGACAATATTAGCACGCAACGTTTTTAAACGGCTTGGGTTTACTGGAGTTTGAAACTCGATAATTCCACTAAAAACGCATGCATGCGTGCATGGGATAATAAGGGATACACATATCACTGATTATTTCATGAACTAGTGATATGTGTATACCCA